CTCCCTAGACTTATCCAATGGCTGTGAACATTTAAAACTAACACGAGTCTCTATAAGTGTCCAGTTTTAGGGTCTTACACAGAATCATACCAAACAACATGAATCAAACATGCACTTTATTTATTTACACTAAATAACAAAAGTACATCAAATCGGATTGAAGCTAAGGGCATACAAAACTATCTAACAAGTATGAGATAAAATGAAGTTCAAATGGGTTATTGAGCTAGGGAATGCTTCTTGTTGCAACAACTTCCACTTGAAAATGGAGGAGATGAGTTCGGAATCTAAGGTTCAAAGTACCTCTGAATTTTGGTTGAACAGGAGGCAATATATGGGCTGGGAGAAAGCTCTATTCTCTCTCTCTTTTTCTCTCTAGGGACCTCCCTCAAGTTTTCTCTCTTTAATCCCCCTTCCTTTCTCTTTTTCTCTCCGGTCTCCCCCCACTTGGTTTTGAATTAGATTAGTATTTATAGAGAAAGGGAGGAAGGACAGGTCTGAATTCGCTCAGCTACAATGCCTATGATTTAATAGAGGTTTTTCACATAAATAGTCAAAGAGTCTTCAAAGAAAAAGATGTGTAGTCAAGCTTTCCTATTTGGTGAAACATTTTCTTTGATTCGGGGGTGATTTTCTTGGGTTTTGTGCTTCCAATGGGAGCTTAGGGCATGCTTATCATGGCAGTCTCGTATTTGGGTTGTCAGTGGCAAAAAATGTAAATTTGATGAAATTTTAAATGTGGTTCTGTTTTTTTTTTTTAGCTTTAAGTGGGGTCTGTTTGGTATTTTGAGCTTTTTAAACCTATTAGTCTCAAATTCATTGGTCTAGGTGTTCTAATAGGTCTGAAATTAGCCATCACCCTTTTGAGGCTTCAGGTTGGGACAGATGATGTGGCAATTTAATCTGGTGCGTCGAAATAGTATCTTTCTAGTTTAAGGGTCAAATGGGTGAATTAGGATGTAAAATTTGATGTGCTAGGGTTTTTTGGGTCTCTAAACATAGTTATGATGCTTGATTGATCAAATGGGTTCGGGATAATTGAGATCTATGGATGACATGTTCAGACAAGCAATATTTGTTAAAATAGAATCTTTTTTTTATAAAGGGTTAAATAGGGAAATTTTGGGATGAAATTTGGTGGGTTGGAACTTATGAACGTCCTGAATCTAATGGAAGTGATGGATCTTTGATCAGAGGTATAGATTGATTGATTTAGTTTAGATCGATGTCTTAGCTTATGGTTTTCTAATCAACGAGAGGGTCCGAAATGGAATCTTACTTTTTCAATGGTCAAATGGAGGTGTTTGGTAGTGAAATTTGACATGGTGGGGTTTTTTGGGTCTCTAAACATAGTGGTGAGGTTTGATTAGTCATGTGAAGTTGGCATGACGAATGGTAGGATTTAATTAATGAGAGTTGTTGAAATAGGATCTAAGCATGATGGTGGGTCAAACGGGTGAATTTTGAGCTACAATTTGGTAGGTAAGCATGGATTAGGGTGAGGAGTCAAGTGGATGGTTCTGATATGAGAAAGATATGGTCAAGAGGGATGTGACAAGGTTAATACATAAGTGATTGTTTGGTATAGATGGCATTTATAAAATGAACATTTTGTACAATTTTGTCTTGAAAATGAGACAAATCTGCTTTAAACATTTTGTACGATTTTTTACACCTTAACGCCATTAAGCACCATATAAACCAAACAGTAAAAAACAGTCTTGAAAATAAAAAATGTCATATTTGGCTTTTTTTTATAAACAACTCTCATGATTTTCAAGAAAGCCGTTTATCTGATAAATGGCTCAACCAAATAACTTTTTTTGGTTTTTTTATTAAACACAACTATGATGCTGAATTGACATTGTTGCTCTGAAAAGCTACGTCGAGAGAGAGAGAGAGAGAGGGTTCTATACAAACAAGTAACCAAACTGAGTTGGTTTGCATGGGATATGCATGAGCCTCATGGTAGTGATTACATGGATATACACCATATGCATGAGCCTCACGATATATGTTAATAAAAAGAAAGTTTGAATAGTGTTAGTTAGGGGTGTCAACGGTATTCAAAAATCTGATTTCAAAATTGAGATAATACATAATCAAACCGAATTCAGATAATTCGAATATTGTAATTGGTTGAATTTGGATATCCTATTCATACTGATTAGCTAATCGGATTCGAACTTAGATATGACCTAATTCGATTCGACAAATATCTGAATTCGACCGATTATTTTACTTTTATACAATATATATATACATATATAATATTTGAATGTTTTATATAGTTTATATATACAATAAATAAATTATGTAAACAATTTATATATTTATATATTTATTAATTACCTAAAATAATTAATTGGTTGAATTTTAATTGAATTGAATATCCGAATATTTAATAGAATTCGAATATTAATTTTCAATATCCATCGAGTATCGAATCTTATTCAAATATCAAAATTTCTAATCATATTCTAATTCAGATATGACCTTATTTGACTTGAATTCAATCCATTTACACCTATAGTGTTAGTTTAGCAAAAAGTCTTAGGTTTAAGTCTTGTGCTTAAGTCTCAATTTAGGAGTGTAAATAAAAAATATCATCATCATCATCATCCATTCCTTATCCCAACTGCACGGAGTTAGCTAGTGTAAATATAAATATGTAAAGTGAAAAACCTAACTGTATTTCTAAACCTTGTATATACATGTATTTATATTCTTCCCAAACTAAGCTTAAGGGACAGTGGCACTTAGCCCCCAAACTTTGTTTTGTGGCAAAGAATCCCATGAACTTCTAGTTTCCAAAACTTTGCCCTGTTGTTGGCATTTTGTAAGTTAATTTCAAGGAATATTACATTAAACCATTTAAAAAACCCCAAACTATCTTTATATTATTTTATTAGTGGGGACCCATATGGTGCACGAACTTTATTAAAAGAACTTGA